CTGGAAGTCGGAACCCACTCCACGGCACTAACAACAAGAAGCTATAGAAAGCCAACCTTACAGAGCCAGGAGAACATATGTTACACGTGTGAATGTTGTTGGAAAATTGTAGGTTTTTACAAAGCTTCTAAAATTGTACTTCTGAGAGTAATTACAGGATTATGCTTGCATTTGCTTTTAAAGCTTGATTTTGTATAAAACATCTGAAATTTGTCTGCCTAAAAAGAAACTGATATATGAAAAGATGAGAAAAAATTCAGAGCTATACCATGAAAATTCAGCTCCCTTTTGAGATGAATAACTTCTTTAGATGTAAAAATAGACACGGAGAACCCTGAAACTCAACATGCTCTTTCTAGCTTCTAGCTTACATGCATTTTTATTATCAGTTATGCCATCTCCAATAATATACTGTGCTTTTTTTGTAGTTTGATGGGAAAACATTGTTCCAGAAATATTTAAGGCAATACTAAATTAAAATTATTAGGCACATGCAGAACAAATCTGAAAAACTAGGAACCTCAAGTCTTTATTGATGTTTATTATTTTGAAGTATTAAGTGTTGATTTTGTATTGTGAGAATCAGTCTACCAATTACTTAAGTTTTAAATTCATGACAATTTTTTAGAATAATTTTAATTCATTATATCTACAAAAGGTTAGTCACCCCAACACAAACATTATAGTCTACAGTCGTCCCCCCTTATCCATGGGGAAATGTTCCCAGACCCCCAGTGGATGCCTGAAACCTCGGATATTACCGACCCCTATCTCTACTATGTTTTTTTCCTATGCATACATACCTGTGATAGAGTTTAATTTATAAACTAGGCACAGTAAGAGATTAACAGCAATAAAAAGACAGTACAATTATAACAAAATACTGTAATAAAAGTTACCATGGATCTCAGCAACCTCAGCATATGATTTTTTTTCTTATTAAGTGGAGAACTTCCACCTTTTCACATAAAGGAAGCACTTTACAGCTTCTCTTTGGCATATCCGAACTGCCAGCATCACTACTCTTGCGCTTTGGGACCATTATTAAGCCAAATAAGTGTGACTTGAACACAAGCACTGAGATACCACGACAGTCGATCTGGACAGTCGATCTGATAAACCAGAAGGCTACTAAGTGACCACTAGGTGGGCAGCGCATACAGCGTGGATCGGCTGGACAAAGGGATGAGTCACATCCCAGGTGGGACAGAGCGGGACAGCTCGAGATTCCATCATGCTACTCAGAAGAGCACACCATTTAAAACCTATGAATGGTTTATTTCTGGAATTCCCCATTTAATATTTTTGGACGGTGGTTGACTGTGAGTAACTGAAACTGCGGACAGTGATACTGAAAATAAGGGAGGATGACTGTAGTTTCTTTTTCCATTACAGTACCCCGTACATGTAAAGTTTGAAAATATGAGACGTTCTGAAGTATTTTAAATGAACTATTCAGAATGCATCTGGAGGAAGAGATGCCCTTTTTCAATTCACACAGAGCCGCTATATGATTTAGCTAGAGGCATCCGTGAGTGGACAAGATATGTGTTGCATGATCATTATCCCAAACACGAAAACTTCAGGATATGGCCCAAGAATCCCTAATAATCTTTGAAAATTATATTTTAGAGATTGATAATCCAAATAGATTTATATTTTTCAATCTATATACATCGTATAAGTGCTTGATTTTAGTTGTCCCCAAACAGGCTTTTTGACGCTAACTTTATAGCCTTTTGTCTTTTAGGAAGAAGGATGCTGATTATCCAAAACAGATTTTCCCAAATGGCACTCAAGAAATCTGCAAAATATTAACAGATGTCCCTATGAGAAAAGAATTTCAGAGTGAAATAAGCTTGGTATACATTGGAATAAAGAAAGATGAACACGCTGCTCCGAGAGAGAACGTCTCAAAACCTTACAACCATCCTGCGCACTTTGAACCACGACCAGGAGATGCAGGGGGCAGCACTGGACACACACCACCCAGGAGACTGAGCAGCCCACTGCTCATTTCGGACGCGCTCATCTCGACATTTTCTTGGTTCATAATATGCTTGGATCGAGGAGATCAAAACCATCCATGGCATCTTAAGTGCCTCCATACTGTGGTTTTATATAATACCAGTAAGATCATACCATATGTTCTTTCCATAGTCCTTCTTGAGAATACTGGGTACTTGGTTGACTTTTAGGGTATTGGCCACATCTTTAGGGAATGGGATAACGTCTTCTAAATCCTCTTATTGACTTCCAGAATAAAATTCATCCAAAGCAATGTATAAGAAAGCATTTGTTGTGTCATAGGATGATTTGATCAAAGACATATAGGGAACCAGAACATAAAAGTAGCTTTTAAACTCTTAAATAGATTATAATCTCCTAGTGTGTGTGGCCTAGATATTGTACTTTAGTCTTGGAAAATTATGAAGACCTTATACAGGAGAGGGACTCAGGAGGCTGCTGCTTCTTATTACGACATATAATATAGTCTACCATCATTACTGGTCAGACTTGCTCCTCTTTTAACCACGAACTTGAATAAACAGAATTTTACAACCTATGCAGAAGTTAGTTACTAAGAAAAAAAAAATGAGAAGAGTAATATACTGAGGACACTCATTCCTCACAGTGTCAGCTATGAGAACAGGGAATATTTAAGGCTGAAGAGCTGGCAACCCTCGTCCCACATCCGTGAGACACAGCGTTTCTATACGGTCGTCATTTTGTTTTGTTTTCATTCCAAACCCTCCTCTCAGGGTTTTAACACAGGGTTGATGACGGACACAGATAACTCTGTGTTTGTACACGTGTGTGTGTACACATGTGCCCATGTGCCTCTAAGGATGTATAAAGAGAAGAATGCATATGAAAAGATAATTCCGAACATTATAAGAAAGACCTGTCCCTCCCATACCCCATTTTTCCTCTCTGCTCCTCTAAGTAGTCTAGAAATCACATGTGTACCGTTTGTGGAGAATCAGTGACCTGAAGTACAGGACTGCAAGAAAAAGAGTTCTTCAAGTTAGCTTAAGGGGAAGCTTGTTTAGCTGTTAGTTCTAACCCTTAAATTCACATAATCCACTTATATAAAGACAGCTTTCAGCTGATTCATGTTCTAAACTTCAGAGAAGGAAAAGAGAAGCTGAAAACAGAGACATGCCCAGAGAAAGTGGATTTGTCAGTAAGACATTTATTTGTGCCTTTTTAGGTCTACCCCTCTCCCCACCACCCTCAATAAATAAGAAGAGTCACAGGAATCAAGAAGGAAAAGAACACTGCCCTGTCTTCTTCTTCTTGTCACGACACAGCTCCACCCAGCGCTGACTTGTAAGCTGGCGTTTTCCACAAAGTAACATTGGCTCCAATACAGTGACATGCAGTTTCCTCCGGTCCTTTGTATAAAATCACAGGACCCTGCTGCTGAGCTGCCTACAGTTTCTCTGTTCTTTGCTTTCTTCCTCAAAAATCACGTACCCAAATTTTTCCCGAAAATAAATTTTTAAAGACTCCTATTCTCTTGAAAGTTCAAGAGAATGACAATGGACCCACAAATTATTCTTCCAGTTGGTTAGTAATATGAATCCTATTAAATAGTCATACTTTATAGCACAGGACTCAAGGTACTTGACTCTATTGTGAACATAAATAAAAAGCACTTCAAGATTTATAGTTTTATAATTATTTAGTAAATTGTTTTTAGTATAAAACTGAAAAAGTTCTTGTTTAAGTCCTATTTATCAATATTGTTACTAAATTAGGTTTTGAAACAGAATATATCAACATTTCAATAAAAAGGAATCTCTTAGAATAATTTTCACCCTTTGATCCTAAGCAACTCGATACGGCTGCCTTCCTTAACTCTACTAATTCTTTCTTAAGTTTTAGAGAACTTGGCATTCTGTTAGGACAAGATGCTGAGAACATTAGAAATAGAGAGAAAACATGTTCTATTAATCTCTTTATCAGTTGAAATTGCTCATGTAGATTATCAGAGTATGACACTGTTAATTAACAGTGAGATAATTACTTTCAATTTGCTCCAAGAGACGAGCTGGGTGCAGGGAAATCCAGGAAGAAAGAACGCTTTAAGATATATTTTACTGCACAACATCAAAATGTGTGATGATATCAGACTGTCAGAGGATTTGGAAGGCAACTGCTCCTATTTTGAACATTTATATTTCTTGGGCCTCTTATAAACCCCCAAATTCCTCCAATGAAATTCTATTTCTGAAAACCACTTAAAAACAAATATAAAATATGCCCTGTCCACGCTGAGTCCGCTTTACTGAAGAAGGCGCCTGGGCTCCTTCCCCCTTCAGCAGGGTGTCTGCCTCTTGAGAGCATGAGGGCACTACTGTTGATTTAAACACACTTCATGCAAATTTCTTACAGCTCACATCATGCAGACCAGGGATTCATACTTTGTTATCACATCCACTCCATCCTACCCTGAATGCTGACCAACTGCTATGGGATTAAAGAAGCAGGCAGCAAACTGCAGCCCATAAGGAGAATGCAGCCCACTTCCTGATTTTTGTAAATAAAACTTTATTGGGACATAGCCATGCCCATTTGTTTGCACAGCATTCACACTACCACTATGTTGTTGAGTAACTGTGAGAGCCTGTCCTGCGCAGCCTGAAATATTTACTGTCTAGCCCTTTACAGAAAAAGTTTTCTGACACTGGACTAAAGGATGCTCTGTGGATTTCATCATATTAGAAGGAAGCTCCTGCAGATGTGACTTGGAGCAATTGCTGAAATCATGACTGTGGTTAGAAGCTATACCTGAGAGTAGACAGCATCAAGCAGTCACCTGGCGATACTACACAACAGTTAACAGACGTTCAGGCCACTCCGGTCCCCCTTATCTTAATTCAGTGTTTCTGCTACTTGTCCGGAACTCTATCTTAGCAAGAAAATCCACCAAGCTAGTTGCATTTCTACACCACGGATGAAGACCAGTTATATCCACAGTACAACCAACTCACCTGATTCTGCCCCTGGGGCGCTCAGACTGCTCTGACATAAAGCTCGTGCTGCTGAGGCGGGAGGCACTGCTGGTTCTGGAAATGGCGGACACATCACTGACATCACTATCTGACGATCTGGCAGAGACGTTATCACAGCTTCTGTATTGATCTTTATGTATGCTATACTAAAGATTGAAAACAAGAAAGTGAGAGCTCCATCATCAGACCGCGGACAAAGAGACACAGGCAGTGAGGTTAGTGATGACTTAGCCAACACCAAGTAAAAGTGTACCTTCCTAACAGCAGGTGTGGGTCTAAAATAACCCAATATCAACATAATACATGATTTCCAGTATAAAAATCCTACCTCCTCTGAATGGTAAGAAATGGTTTATGAAGACTGAGCTATAAATTAAACACAAAAATTAAGTGCTTGGGTGGAAAATTCATTGAATTAATTATTTGCACATACATAAAACCTCCAAATTGTATTGTTTTTTTCTAGTACATCAGTTTCTCTTTTCTTGCTTTTGTTTTCATCATTGCCTATTTTATTCACCTTCTACTCTATCCTTGGTAGAGACTGTTTCCATCTGTGCTTCTTGATTCTTCCTAAACTATTCCATTTACCTATACACTTTCCCTATTCTAAGACTTTGAACTTTCAAATTTCTTCAAAAAATATATCTCCTTACAAATAAGGGCTGATTTTAAAGCTAAGGGGTGACAAAGATGAGTGAAGCAATGGAGGCAAATATTGGACTTTGGCTTCCTTTCTATTATGGTTTAATTAGACATTTTCAGATTTAAACTATCAACTCAGTGTTGAAAGTAAAAAACAAGATTCCTATTAAAATTTCAATATACACTGTATCTTATACTTAAACGTGTCTTTAAATTTATCTTTGGTATTCTTACCTAAGATTTTAGAAATCATTCAGTAAAAGATTAAAACGTGCAAAGGTGTCAAAGCACTTAATCTCTTCTTTCTACTTTACTGTCATTTTAATGGATCACACGGTGAATAGCCTTATGTATTATATATGTGTTAGTTATAATAAATAGTAAGGTTAGATAATCATATATAATTTAAAAATACCTAACATATAAATAATTGTCTTAGGTACTGGAAGGTAAGATAATATACCTTCTTATATAAAATAAAAGAAGATACCTAAAAGGAACACATGGATAAACATTAGGTATTTAAGTTTCTTTTCAAGCAATTGAATTTTAGATTTATGTGTTAAGGCGTGAAAATATCAAATGTTCATTAAACCTGTAAAAAAGCCCATCCATCCTCAAATGCTCTATATTTGATGAGTTTTAATGAATCTAAAATAATCCAAACACTCTATTTCTAAAAATGGGTATAAACAGTTGTCTTGCTAAAGTATGCAAAATAAACTGATGCTAACACCTGGAAAAAGAAGTATAAGACAATAATATATTTTTAAAACTACTAAAGAAGGAAATCATGTTTATTTAATAATCCTACAGATGAGAGTAGTTCAGACCTAAGGCATTTAAATGTTACTTCTAATTCTTCACCTCTCATGTGTATGTACTGGGCAAAGAATTTCACATCAAGCATGAAAACAGTTCCAAATTTATAAAATATGTATAAAATTATATTTCCAAAGAATTTCTTCATAATTGTGTGATTTGTTTTGGAAAGCCATATGCTAAATTATAATCCAAATGGAAATTCATATACGTTATTATGTCCAGAACTCAGCTATTCATACTTCATGTATGATCTAAAATTAATGATTTAAGATAATGTATTCAAAGTAATGTGACAAGGTTTTATCACCAAATTCTGTCATATCTGATAGCATGACGCTGACTCACATGATTAATTCCAATCAGAACTGTTTTTTACTTACAGAGTAGATGTGGTAAAATCTTAATATGCTCACAAAGTAGACGCCGAATTTAATACTGTTACTGGGGTACAGTATGCTACTTGTTTTTGAAACTACTTTGCTAAGTAGACATATTATGTAGTTATTATAATGTTTCCAAGCATATTGAAATGATAGCTTGCCCATCCCAGAATATGAAAGAACTGGGTTCTAATACTATGAAAATCTACCCAGTGGTAGGAGACTTCCTGGCATTGTGTTGACACCCAGATCAAGTGCTCCCCTTATCTGACAAATGTCAATAACACGCAGTGTAGACTCCAACACAGGGATCTGTGAGTGCACACGAACTGCTTCTCCAGCCGAAGAAACCTTCCTCTTCTATAAGCCACCTCTTCCTCAACTCTCTGTATATAGACTTTAGCTATTCCAGCCAAGAGATTAAACAAGGAATTTTAAAAATCCGTATATCGTATTAAATTTTTCTATATTGGGGTAAAGAATAATCCACGCTCCTGACAGGAGATCACAGTTTTCTTCACATTGCTTATCTGAAGGAAATAAAAGACTTTCATATTCACTTTTTACTACTATATTTACTTCTTTTCAAAATCTGTTAATAGTTTAAGTAATCACTTTGATTTTTTACCAAGCATAATTTGTTAATATTCCTATTTAACAATTAAATATTTTAATGGAAATACATTAATTATATTCTGAGAAACATACTATCCTCAGGAGGAATTTACACTGACCACAGAACAGGGAATAAGTCCTTGATGTGAAGGGAAGCTCTAATTATAGGGCTGCTATTTTTATAAGTAAGTACTAATAAACAGGCAGCAGCCACCTCCAAAACCCATCACATCAGGATGGTTGCTTTGTCTGGGTTACAGAAACATAAGCACTCTCTAAAGTGTGAGCGCCTAAATGAAAATTCACCCCCAAATATGAATTTCACCCCATCAATACGGCATGCAGCTCTGGGTAGCAGCAATGAAAAAACAGCATGTGTCCCATTTCAGGGATACCAAAGTGGTTCTGTGCTTTTTTCAAAAGCAAAGTTAGTGCTAATTCCTTACTCAGGATGGATGTCAGGGTCATTCAGTCTCTTAAAGGAGATGCCAGGTTTGAAACATCTTAGGAATTATATTACATTTGTCTAGTAATTCTTTGCCCTGAAGAAAATTTAGTTCTACTGGTATTTGGTTATAAATATTTTGAGAATGGTTAACTAATCTCTAATTTGGCAGAATTGCAACTAAGATGTCTTGCTTCATCCAAAATGTCAAATGGATTAAGATGCTACAAAAGAGTCAATAAAGGAATTAAATTCAAAATTTAATGTCTATTAAATTTACGACAATACTGGTTCTTAGTTATATGAATACAAACAGATCTTTGTAAAGTAAATTATAAAAAGGTTGGGGTAAATGGATGAAGAATAAAAAAAATAATTTCTCAAGTATGTGAGAGAGGTCTGAATTAATGGAAATGGCTACTGGAAACTATTTCAAAATTTTATTGCAAGCATTAGGCCATAATACGAATATTAGAATCACAGAAAGTATTTATCTTTTACTTGACATATGAATTAAAAAATAAGCTAATTATTTGTTATTTTATCTTATATATTTTCCTATCCTATATTCTTATAAGTTCTTAAAGATACCGTATCTTTCCTCTCACATTTATTTATATAATTTATAATCATTTTATTTATGTAATACAGTAACATCAATTCATGCAGTAGGAACAACAGTAACATATTTGGAAGTGTTGGGTTTTTGATATTCAAATGCAATGAGAAAGGAAAAGGAAAAGGATGCCCATGGGAAGGAGGGAGGAAAACTAGAATATGATCATTTAATTGTAGGCAAATTGCCAGCAGTAGAAGAACCTCTGAGTCAGACTGGAGCATGCACACATCCCTGAGATGTAAGAAGCAGAACGCTGCTGTCCCTCCCTTCCACACCAGGAGTCCCAGGGCCGGCCCTCTACAGGAAGGCTGGACTAATTTTGGTAAATCACATCTTTTCTTCCGAACCTCCGTTTTCATAAATTTAGTAGATAAGAGAGCTGGAGTAGAAGATAATTTTGAAGTGTTTTCAAGTTCTAAATTTCTATGAGCCAGAGAATTTGGAACCTCCCGAGCAGGATAAACCTACTGTTGATTTATTACGAATATAAGTATCAGTAGTGGTTTAGATTTCCAGGGACTTCGTTTTGTAGATTATTTTGATGACCTGACTACTGATTAGAGTCCTAGCTCAGGGTGACTGAGATGGCTGTCAGCATTTCCCTCCTTCTTCATTTACGTCTCTTGCTTCCCGAGCTGCCCGACTTCCCTCTGCTATGCTAGTTGACCTCATCCTTAGACATAATGCTAAGAAATCAATGAAGCATTTCCAGCTTTAATGAAGCACTTCCAGCTTACAGAGCCTCTCCAAATAACGGCACCCAACAGTGGAGAAAGAAACCCTGGATACCCTGCCCTCTAACTCCCACTGCATTTGTAGTACAAAGCCACAGAAGTGATGATGGTATCCATAAAGAACACAGACATAAGCTGATTACGTGATGATGCCAGGAAGAATAAACCACAGAGCAGGTATGTGGAGCTGGAATCAGCAACTCCAGGGAACATCAAGATACTCTGCTTGCTGATTTTACTTTTTAAAATGTTGTGTCAGACTCCCAGGGACCTGGGCCTTCCTGGATCACAGTGACCAGGTCCTGCCTCAGCTGGGAATCCCCTGCAGCTAACCTGGGATGTCAGGCGACAGACTACATCCAGTACACAGGACTCCATGAAGTCTGGGGACAAATCAGATTTTGTGACCACCTCTAATTTTTGTATTAGTCTCGATATCTGGCTATATAATGAACAACCTCCATTATTTAAAAATAAGTACGTTTTTCTAGGTTACATTTCAAGCTAACCATATTGATTTAGTAGTTTTTACTTAATTGTGAATTTCTAAAAGGTCATTACTTCCAAAAGGGCTTCCTGACATCAAATTATAACACAGGTTGTTCTGTGATGGCTGCTGCCACTTTTGTAGTATTCTAAAAAAAAGGTTTTTAAATAAACTAGATAATATATTTAAAATTACTTCATGAAGTATAAAATTCTATGCATATTTTAAGTAAAATTATTATATGTTAGCAGTTTATAAACTCCTTAGTGTATCCTTACAAAATACTATTAATATATAAATTAAATGTTTATTGGCACTTGAAATTATGTGGACTTCAGTTTCTAAAAGAGTTTGAAATCAGTTACTTTTCTTACTAAAGACAGATCAATAAAAAATCTCACGTCACATAATTTTTGTCATTCACTAACAAATCTCAACAGTAAATATCAACCTAAAATAGTATTTCAGACTATAAATCAATATCTTAATATTTTAAATGCAATATTAAGTGATATTCAAGCAATAAAATGGCTTCATACATCTTGCTTATTTATGTGAATTTGACTATTGATCATCGATCATTAAGTGACTTTAATGTCAAGTATTTACATTTTCTTTTTAGAAAAACATTAAATCCAAGTTAGTAAATAACATTTTAATGAAGTCATATCTCGTGAGACTCTCAAGAGGAGAGAGGTTATGATGCAAGACCACCGTCTGCACACTTCCCTCCCGCGACCCGGTGCCGGCTGGTCCCTCCGGGCGCTCTCTGCACGTGGTCTACAGGGACACTGCTGGTTGGGCGCCGCTAGTTTACCTGGGAACACTGCTCGCGCTCGAGGTCTTGACTAGACCCAGACCCTGCCGGCTGCTTAACCCGGTGCAGTGCCAGTCTCATCTGTCCCGTGCGCTCCTCCACTACTAAGCTCGCTGCAAAAACACACAACGGAAGCCTATTACAACGCGGGAAGCAGCTCTCAGGAGGGAACGGTTTAAGATCGCAATGCTTTTGATATGAATTCAATTAAATGGCACTTAGAAATAACATATGATTAATAAACTAAACAAAATGTAGAATATACAATGCTAGCAACTGTTAATCTGAGATGAACGTGACTCCACTCACAGAATGAGGAACACAGACGTTAGTAACAAAGAGAAGTCCCTATCTCTTCATCTGATCTGAAATACTTTCAATTCATTTGCAAATGATTATGTGAAACTAAGTTTAACTGTGGAAATGCTTTACATTTTATCATCTGGTTTTTACGTGTACACATATAGAGAACACATATGCACACTGCACACGCCACACACGCACACTCTGACACCCTCAGCTGACAGAGGGCACCTAGAACTGTTCTAATTGATGAGCATCTGCTTTTCCAAGGCATTCTTTTTCATTAATTTCTGCCAGTACTTTTCATGAATATTTGCCAGTCTTAAAAATGGACTTACTAAGAGAAAAGATTAGTCTTCTATTTCTAATGGCTGTGTCTGACCACATACATGAAATTCGTAAGTTGTGAAAATGTGATATGAATTCTATCTCTTTAATGTACAGTGTGTAATAAAGTGCATTCCATTTAAGCCTTCATTCATCTCCCAGGGAGCAGGTGTCACTGTTTAGACGGGAAGGATAACAGCCTTCAATAAAGTACAAGTTATGGTAAGTCAGAATCCATCATAACCAGCATAGCTTCAAAACTTTGCCTTTCATTTTTACATTTTTACAATTAAAGAAGAGCTCACGGTACAGCTGTGTGCAGAGTAACCTCTTCACAACATATACTTGTGTTGTATGAGACTCACGTTTATTTAGTACAACTTAACTTCTGCCAATTTCCCAGACTATTCAACCTCTGCAACAAGGGCTAACATTTATTTTTAAGTCGTGCATATACACATATACATGGAAAAATATTTTTTGATTAAATATACTGAGGCTTCTGCCAAGAGGCCCTAATGATGTAACGGATAATGGAAATATTGACACATCTGACTGACTTGGCTGTTGACTTCATCTCTTATGAGGAGTTTACAAAGACGCTTACAGATTTTTCCATTGCAATGATTAAGTATGACTTGTCATCCTTCATAAAAGACACTGACACCCCTTTTAAAAATTAAGTAAATACGTAGCTTTTCTTGTGTGTTCAAGTACAGACTAACAGCCCAAGAAATAAATACATAGTTTGAAATTTGTGTCTAAATGTTTTAATCATACTTCTAGTGCCAATTATTAGATGTTTAGCTTTGTTTAAATTCAGTAAATTAGAGAGAAAATATCTATCTCTAACATCACAGTTATTGAATTGAGCAATGACACACACTTGCTTTGAAAATGTTGACTTCAGAGATAACAAATGACAGCTATTATGATTAAAGGATAGTTCAATGGAGATCTTGAGAAAAGCAGTTCAGAAATTTATTAATTACTTGACAACGAGTATTATAAATAATAATGAGTATGATAAAGCAAAATGCTACTTGAGAGTAATTAGGAATTGAGACAAAGTTATTGAAAAATGTGTTACACTTATAGCAAGCCATATGCACTACAAGAAAACGTACAAATCGCTGATTTCTGCCTTCTGCCTGTGGAGTGGGTCCCTCTGGGCACTTGCTCAGTCATCTGTTTGAGCTTTGAGGAAGTCAAACTGTAATCAGGTGTAATCTCTAAAGCTTAAAGCAGTCCAAAGTAATCTCTACTTGTGATAAAAACAGATTTAAACAATGTTAGCTTAATATTCTCACCAAATGACATTAATCTTAAGAAATTTTTGACACTGATGAGCCTAGAGCTCTGTAACCTCCACCGTAATATCATGTAGTTCTTAGGGAGGACAGGGACTTGACACTGAAAAGATTACTTCCCAGAGCTGCCTGAAGCAGCTCTGGTGCCTTACCCTCACCAGGATGCCTCCTTTCTCTAAACAGGGTTACTTAGCTCACAACACGGCTGCATTTACATCTCTATTTTGCAGAACTCAAAACTAAATCCAGTGGTAGCCTAACTAAAATGAATCTTAAAATGGTTTTAAATGACTTCACTTTTACCTTCCAAAATTGATTAATATACTATATCTTTATTCTTAAAGAAGTGAAAGCTGACATCTTTTAATCTATTAAAGAAAGAAAATCTCCACATTAATCTTGACTCAGAACCGTGAGTGGACTCCTTGACGCTGCAGTAAACACGTGGTTGCTATGCTACCCTCACAGCTTGCTGTCAGGGCCCAGGAATGGGAGGAAAATGCAAATGGCTCATCATTTACTTATATCAAAAAGTCATATAATTACATATAATTCACCCTTTTTTATTCTTTCTCATTAATTCCTGATGATATGTACATTAGTGTGTAATCTGAAATAAATGTTCATACACGTTATCATGTTTCAGTGAAAGTTTTTTCATAAATATCAATGAAGAACCTTCAGTGTGCATTTGGAAGTTTTTTAACTTTTCTACAGACTTTGCATTTTATTTCTCAATTACATATTGTGGAATAAAATGACTATTTCTGGATTGTTGCAGTGTTAATCTAAACAGTAAGACAAATTTAAGAACTAAAATAGAATATTTATCACGAATTTGAAGCAGAAGGCATGATTCCATTAATGTACATGATTTATACAGAGAATTATAGATATTTAGGAATGATTAAAAGTGAAGTGAATCCTTGGAATATGATTATCTGTTGAATATCTCACTATAAGTAAAATCAACCACAGCCCAGAGAGCTCAAATATCTTACTTTGAAAAGAATGATTACTGATCATCATTTAATAATTTTAACACTTGGGAGCCGGCCCCGTGGCGTAGCGGTTAAATGCGAACACTCCACTGCTGGTGGCCTGGGTTTGGATCCCCGCCGAGCACTGATGCACCGCTTGTCAAGCCAGGCTGTGGCGGTGGCCCATATATAAAGTGGAGGAAGATGGGCACAGATGTTAGCCCAGGGCCAGTCCTCCTCAGCAAAAAGAGGAGGATTGGCACAGATGTTAGCTCAGGGCTGATCTTCCTCACAAAAAAAAAAATAAATAAATAACACTTTAATGCCAATAGCAAAATTAAAATATTCAATAAAATCTTTTCCAATTATCCCACAGGTCCTAGCCTTAAATCCACATTTTAGGAACATTCTAAATGTTGCTAGCATTGTAAACTAACAAAACCACTAAAATGCCAGCTGCTATTCCTTTATTAAAAAATTTTTAAAATTGTGGGACTTTGGGTTTTTATTTTTAAAAATTTTCAAAACTGCCATATATTAGAGAGTTAAATAACCCTTCTTATTTTTTACAATAGACAATTATCATGTAATGTCATTTAGTCTTTTAATGAAAATACAGCTTACATATATTACAAGCAAAAGAGAAGGACGTGTACCATAGACTGTATTTCAGCTGTATTTGCAAATAGTGTGATAGTAACAAACAATTCACCTCCCCTAGCCCCTAAGGTGTAATCAACATTGTGATTTTATTAAAAAATGTTTTTTAAGTTGGAATTTTTCATGATAATACCCACAAGCTGAATGATGTGTTTGATGTTGAATAAACTGTGCTTTTTAAAAAGCAGATATTAATTTACCTAAAATAATATTTATTGAATATAATTCATTTTCTTTAGATCGACTTTACTCGCTCTATATTGTTATTTCTAAACTCTGACATTTCTATCAGATAAATCTACATATGTCAAAAATAAACTCAACATTATAATTAAGAAAGTAGAAAACTGGAACTTATTCTTAGAGGTTAAATTAAAAGCATACTTATGAAATCATTTTTTGTTTTCAAAACTCAACAAGAATAATTCTGACTGGAAAGCGCAAGGTGAGAAAAGTAAATACAATTTAAAAAGTCTGCAATTTATTACAATTTTATAATGGAAAGTATTAGATACTATCAAAAATAAAAGACAGATTAAAATAGTTACTTCTTTTGCATGTCACATGCTTTGCTATGAATTTTTAATCCAGTGTGATGGGTGATCTGTGATGAATCTGTGAATAAGCTGAAATCATTTGCAAATGTTGTTTGTGCCTATCTGCATTTTCTAAATCTATCCCTTTCATAAGGTTATTAAAGAATCCTGTGACTTAAAGAAAAATGCTTAAGGATCTTTAATAAATCTTTCCTAATCTTCTTATACTATGACTTCCTCCAAAGAAAAGGGAATTTTTCTGGGAAATTCCTTTGACTCACCAGACATTTGTGATTTGCTTAAAAATATTGTAAATGTTATAGTTATGTGTAATTTAAGATAATTATAATTTAAAATTTAAGCTTTCATAAATACATTTAAAATATTCATGAATTTACAACTATATAACGATGAATTTGCTCTGATCTTCACATTCCTTAAATCTTTCACATTTGTCCCTATGCATCTAGAAATTAACATGAATTTGAAATTTCAAATGTTTATGTTTATAGGCAAAAAAAAAATCCATACAATAATACTGGTAACCCTTCCAATATTTTCAAGTATTTTACGTGAAATACGAGTGTCTAGTTCATAGTGAACTAGTTCACTAGTTCACAGGCTTGTCTAGTTCACTACAACGTGCTACCACACCTTATGAACAGAAACATTAACGCCTCTGCTTCCTTGCTGTCCAGCAATACGACGAGGGCAGGTGATGTGGGAGCACCACCCTTGCTCCAGTCGTGTCTCAGAAAGAGCACTAATCAAGGGCCACCTGTCTGGAAGCCGTCAGGCAGAATGAAATTTATGATGAAACACCCGTCCTGCCTCAGGACTGACAGCCTTGGAAACAGTCCCTTCTCTGAAGCATTTTATTCCAAAAAATCACTGATAGTGGGAACTCAGACATAAAAAACAGTATATTATGAAACACAGAGATTAAAAAGCAGTAAAAGATGAAAAATTTAGCTGAGTCTGTAATCAATGTAAACTA